AGACGGTCAAACGCAAGCGATAAACCGTATCCGCATCTAGCGCTGTTTCACGAAGCCTCGTTCCGTAGCGACTGGATCAGCGTCGTCCCAGCGCGAAAGCCATGCGTTCAACGCTTCCTTGAGTTCTTCCGCTTTCGCGGCATGCTGGGGGTCGTCGATCAGGTTGTTCAGTTCTTCCGGGTCGGCTTGGCGGTCGTACAATGCCCACTCTGGTCGATTGTGCAGGCGATGCATCAGCTCGATTGCTTCGGGCGATTCGGTGCGTAATGCTTTGCGAACCCAAGACGCGGCCGGGTTCGCTTTGCCGTTCATGTCTGGGGTCTGAATCCACTGCAGTGCCTGCGTCAGTGTCGTGTTCGACGTGATCGTCTCTTCTGCCCGAGGCGACCAGAGAAGTGTGTACTGCGTGTCGCGGATGGAACGTATCGGAAAGACCCGATCGCGGTTGTCGATGATGTTGCAATTGGTGAATGCTCCGTAAGCGTAGTCGTGCACCGGCTGATCGGCACCGGTCCAATTTTGCCATTGGCTTTTGCCGTCGAAGTCTTCAGCGGATGCTTCGCCCCCGGCCGCTTCAAGCAACGTCGGAGCGATATCGGCGATCCAGGTAAGCTGCTTGCTGGATGACCCGGCAGGTATTTTGCCGGGCATTGCGACCACAACGCCACTGGCTAGACCGTCGTTAAAGCAGGTCCACTTGGCGAATGGAAAAGCATTTCCTTGTTCCGAGCAGAAAACCACAAGCGTGTTGTCGGCCAACTCTTCCTGTTTCAAAACCGCGCGCAAGTCGCCAAGCAGCGCGTCCAAGTTGGTCACTTCGGCGAGGTGCTGTTGAAACTCTCGGCGATACGCAGGCGTGTCGATCTTATCCTTTTCCAGCGGCAACGTGGCGGCGTCGTACTGCGAGGGATCGCCGGTCGTGTAAGGGCCATGGCCATCGTGGGACGCGACGACCAGGCAAAATGGCTTACCGGCGTCGCGTGCCTGGGTGATGTACTGGGTGGCACGCTTGACCAACTGCGGGTTGCCATCCTCCTTCTTGCTGACATCGCCCAGGTAATCGAAGGGATAAGCATCCTTCGGGCCGATATGCGTTTTGCCCAGCAGTC